ATTCAATCCGCTTCTTAATTACTTTATAACAGCTTAAAATCAATAATCGTCATATTTTTATAGCAAATTCATTTTTAAAAAAATCGAAATCATAACTAACATATTTTTAAATATAATCACAATATCATTTAAATCATTTGATTTATTTTTATGAAAAAGTAGCACTTTTTAGCTTTCTACTACTATTCTACCCCATTCCCTTTGAAATAATGTGATATCAAGATGACTTTTCAAATTTTTTTTTTTGTATACCTTAGTCTTACAACGAATATCCTTTTTCATGATATAATCAATTTATTTTCTTTCGAAAATTGCAAAATAACTGACACAAAATTATAACAAAACGCTCAAAGAAGGAAAAAAAAAAACCTATTATAAAATCTTTTATAGCTGACTAACTAAAAAATATAACAAATTATTTTCACCTTAAATTTTTGTGAATTTTAACATGATTATCAGATTTTTTTTCCCTAAAAATATACATTTGTCTTTTTTTTTGGAAACCCTTCAAAATTTTTTGTATATTTACACGTATAATTTATAGGTATGTGTAGTAAATATAACAGTGGTATTTTAAAATCATGTTAATACATTTGTGGTCAAAAAATTGAAAACAAATTTTAAAGTAATTGCAAACGTGTATTTGATATGAAAATCACACTACAAATTAGCTATTAAATAAGCAAAATATGATTCAAAACTTACCTTAGGACTTTTGATGGAAATTTATTTTGTTATTTAGCAAGAGAAAGACGTGACGTTACAAGTTAGCGTTTTAACAATAAGAGGCTTACGGTCAACCCTCCAAATTTGTTTCCCAAAATTTAACAAATATTCCAATAGTGGCATTTCCACGAGCACTTTCAGGTGGCAAAATTTGAATTTATGCTACTTGTTTTATTCCTTTTTGGCAATAATGCTTTCTTCATCAGACACATCCGTTAAAAGCCTTAAAGTATTTTTCCATTGCTACTTCTTAGCATATCTAAGATAAAATATCGAACTTTTGTAATGGTGGAAGCATCGAGTAATCAATTCCTTTCACATTAGTTCCAGTTAAAGTCGTTCAGGCTCGTCATTTTCATAAAAATTTCAATTTATGTACATTTTTATAAAAATGCTACTAAATTTACGTCATACAGTGTTACCATCAAAATTACTTTAACAAAAAGACCTTCATAATATATTTTGTCATAACTAGGAATGATATCTGATACATTATAAATTTTAATGTAATATTTTGGGTTTGTAGAGTTGATTAAATTTTTTTTTGTTGAAAAATTTGAAATTTAATACCGTTTTTTTTTTTTGTAAATCACTAAAATTTAATTTTTTATCTACCAAACATATAAACATTCTAATCAAAAAAATATCAGTTTTTTTAACCGTAGATGAGCGAATAATCGAAAGAGACATATTGCAAATTTAATTCTCCATTTGTAACGCCAATAAATAAATGTCAGAAACGTAGATGTGTATATATATATATTTTTGATTAACGTCAAATATTGAGTCAATTCAGCTATACCTGTCCATTCGTCTTTTCAGCCGTCTGTGAAAGTGATAATAATTCAAAAATGTATTCAGTCAAGTTGAAATTTTCAGAAATCATAAAGTATTTACAGCAGGATTATTAATAATTTGGATAGGATCACACTATCGGTTCTAGTAGCTCTTGTGAATTCTAAAACTATTGTAATTTATTTATAACTTGAAGACTACAAAAAAAAACAGTTCAATTAAAGGACCGCTATTTCTAAAAAATTCAGGTCATGGATAAATACATTCTTAAAATAGCTGCCATGTAATATCGATGAGATCTTTATCATATTCCACAGCAGGACTCAAATATTACACGGAAAATTTTTGTAACAGAGCAATTACTTTAAACAAAACATGAAGAGTGTTTGAAATATTAGCACTTTGTAAGCTTTTTATGTTATATACCTTTTTGGAAACATTTCAGAGTTGACACGATCAAATCTGTCTTTACTCATTTTTCATTTACTTTTAACCATGAAAAATTTTTCTTCAAGAAATTTAAGGAATTTTTAAAAAAAAATTCATTTTACAATAAAAATAGAATTTTTTTATTCCATCTTGTTGGCAATTTAAAAAGGTTCTTATCAATCTCATCACATATGGTGAATATTAAAATAATGAATTCTGACATATTGTTAAAAACTGATTTCCTGATGCGAATTTTGTTCAAAATCCAAATATGTATGTAAAAAAAAAAAAGACGAAATGATTGGAAAAGGATAAAATATCGTTATGTCGATAAATCTTATCAAAATAATTTGATTTTCAATCCTTTTTTCTCCTTGTTATTGCCTTCATTTTTTTTTATTTTATTTTAATAGCATTTTATAACAATGTTGTATAAAGTACATTGATTTATTCCAAAATCACTGAATAAATAATAAAAAAAAAATTATGAAAAAGGATAAAAATTCTAAAAAATTTTTTTTCTAAGTTTTTCTTTTGAATTATGTGCAAAAACGAGAAAAAGGATTAAAAAATTTTTCTCTTGAATTTCGTTAAAATTCATACAGATTGAAATTTTGGATTATGACAAAAGAAGTTGGAGGTTAATGAAAGACAAAATTTTTATTCTCAGAAAATGTTATTTTTTTTTTTTATTTTTTAAATGTTTTGCAATCCATACGAGGCCAATTAATATTTATTCATTTTTTTTTTATGAAATTAATGAATATTTTTTTTAGGTATTATATTAATGTTTTAGTATGGAGCACAATAAATTGCAATAGTTGAGTTTAAAAGCCTTGATTCTGACCAAAAATCTTAAATAACTTTTATTTTCCATTTAAGCAAAACAATTTATTAATGTCTTATAATCAAATAAAAACAGAAATTAAAGTTGGAAAATCGTAAGAAGAAATAGATTTTGATCAGCTTTCTTTAATGGCTACTTAAATAATAAATCCAGCAGAAAATATTAAAATTCAGAATTTTGTTCAAGATTATATCTTAATAAAGCAGTATTTTAATTTTTTAGGAGTAAATAACTAGAATTCCTTCATACCACCGTAGAAAAGATGAGTAACTGAAAATAACGAGCAAAAGGCAGAAATATTAAAAAAAAATCTCATCGAATCTGAAATATTTTGAATTGCTTAGATTAGGTTCGAGTAATTATAAGAAATGTTATGGATTTATTGTTAAAAAATTAAGTTTAAGATGAATAATGTAGAATTTAATTTGATTGATGCGCATAATTAACGTAAAATAAGTAAAAAACAAAACCTGAATACATTCACGAAATTTCGTTTAATATACATAATATGTTTAATATACATAGCTAACCTAAATTAATCAGTTTTTTCATATTGAAGTTAATTTATAAGACTACTTTTAATGTAAAATTTTAAAAATATATGTAAATTTATATTTAGTTGTTGAAAAAGTGACGGAATCAGCTACTCATTTTGAAAATCTTAAAGAGATAAAATTTGTGTTAGATTCTATTCCTTAATATTATAAAGATTACTTAATTTAATATAGAATTTATTAATGTTATAACAACCAAATCTTGTATTAATTTTAAATAATATTCATCATATTTTTAAGGTATGTTTAGAATAGGTAATATATTGAACTTAAAAGGTAAAATTTTCATATATAAAAAGGACATAAAATAAAATTTAAAGCACTATAAAAATTTTAATTAATTTTCTTTACATTTTTGTATACATATAGTGCTAAAATTTAAATAAATTGCTTTAGGCCCATATTAAATATCATTAAAAAAATATAGATAATAAATTATTATTAAATAAATTTACTTAGATATTGTATGTATATTGTATATTTAACAATTCATAAACCTTAAAATGCGTCTTATTTAATAAATAAGGTGTTTCTAAAATTTTTCAAAAAATATCATTATGAAAAAAAAGGTATACCTTTTTTGTATCTACCTAATTACTCTAATTTAAACATACACATTTAAATCCCAACTAATTTATTTTCAGGTTGATTTTAAAAGAAAAAAAATTATGTGACTAAATGTACGTATAAATATATTTTGTGAACCAAAAATTATAACATAAAACGGATAATAAGGATATTCATTCAAATTTTTTCGGTATCCACCTAAAATTCAATCACCTTCAATTCAATTATGCTTTTAAAAGCATAATAAGTTGCGTGTATTTTTGATTCGCTCTTTTAATTACTCCATTTTATGGAAAAAAAATTTTTTTTTAAATATTTTATGTATTCCAATATTCGTATATCGGTGTCCAGAAGATTATAATTCTATATCACAAATAAACAAATTAAGGTAGCTAGTTTTCAAAATTACAGGTTTCTTCTTAATTTTTGAAGTCACTTTGAGAAAAATTTTAGCTTTAAGAAGTTATTTTAACTATTATTTCTTGTATACCTAGAAGTTTTGTAAAATATAAAGTGTATGTACCAAAACATTAGTACTAAATCATAATTAGGCTACACAATTTAGGAACACTCACATGCAAATTTCATGTTAGGTCAAAAAAAAACAAGTTAATACATTTTCATCGAGTTGCGATTTTGAATTTAGTTTGGACATCTTGTACGCTTGAATATAAATAAATGAAAATTAATTATTCTTTTAAAATTTTATTTTTGAATTTGTGGAGAAAAAGGGATTTTATAACATTACAGTCATATTATAATAGGATTATAATAGGTAGGTAGTCGTTATACCTTCGGTAACAAAAGGAGCAAACAGTTAAAAACAAAAAAAAACAAAAAATAATAATAAAATTTAAAAGTAATAATATTTGTCCCACGAAATGGATCTAGTCACGGCACAATTATTAAAAAAATTTAAAAGTTATTGCAATGTAAATTATATATTAAAAAAAAAAGTAGGGTTTTATTGCACACATGAGCGTACCTTGTATATTTATATGTGTATGTAATCAAAATTTTAATTTAATATTTTATAATTTTATTTTAGAAAATTTTCTAATTTTTTTTTGCTCTCTTTTTAGGTAAATTTACAGACGAAAAAATTTATTATTTTCATGAAATTATTCTCAATATATGTGCAAGTGTATTTTGCAAAAAAAAAAAAATATAAATTAGTCAGGGTTGTACTAAAAATAGCTGTTGAAATGCAACAATATGAAAGGAAATTAGGATGAAGTTATGGATTTCCAAAATTAATTTCGTTTCCATGAACGGATTTTCTAAAAATAAAAGTAATTGAAATCAAATTTTCTTAGATTTATTACTAGAAGTTGTTAAATTAAGCACATAACGCTATGAATGACCGTTATTAGCTGGAGCGAAAACTAACCTTTATTTTTCAGGTATACTCCTATATTAAGAATATGCTGTGCTAATTTTAAAAATTTTAAAAATATTGAAGCACTCTAATACCAAAACTTTAAAATATATTTTTATTAAAGTTAGTTTACTTGTGAATAACCTGACATAGAAATGGGTTTTAAACTTATTGTGCCTCATTTTAAATATAGATCAACTCAGTTATTGTTTTATTACACAATTATTTCAGTATAAATGAAAATGTAATTTTCGCTAAATTGCTTTAATATTTTTATAATGAAAGTAAATTTCAAAACTTTTGCTAAAATCAACTACTATTTTTAAATTTTATTATGGAAATGAAACATAGAAATTAATTGTTGATCCAAATATTATACTAAAAACAATACTAGAACTGGACACAATACGTCTCCTGCTAAACTTTTATAAAAACAAAATAAAGCCTGTTACTTTTTTTTTGTTAAATTTTATTTTTCAAATAGGAAAAACAAAAGAATAATATTTTTTTATTTAAAAATTTCAACATTTTCATTTAAAAATATTTTAGGTAAATTGTTCTCGTTAATTTTTATTTAATTGTTAATGTGAACCGGAAAATATTTTACTTTTATAAATATTTCAAATATAAAAAAAAAAAAAAACAAATATACACAAAAAACATATAGAAGGTGGAAAATGTAAATGTGAATAAAAAAAAATAAATTGTTACAATGGAAATTTTTACATTGTAATTTTTAATCCTCTTAAAATTTGAACAAAACAAAAAAAATTAATTTTTAAAATTTCCGCAGGTATCAAATTGTAAATAAACTGTTTAAATTTTTATTTGAAATTTTAATTGAGTTGCAGTTATTTGAGGTGGACAAAAGTGCCTTTTATTTTTTTTTTTTTGAAAATGTTGAAATTTAAATAGAAATTAACTTGTTAATTAAAAATTAATTGTTTTGAAGACTAAACGGTTGAAAATTTTAAATACATGGATATTTTATGAAGTGTATAATAATAGCTTCATGATTTATAAATTATTTCACTTGATTTTTAGCACAAATCACTTGAAATGGCAAATTAAATATTTACTATATTTTTAAATCTCTTAAAGAATTGGAAGTAGTGTTCAATTTTCTCATTTAACTTTAATTTAACAGAAACAAATCAATGCACTCTGCATTTAATTAAACTTTTTTTATTAAAATTATTGAAAAACTTTATTTTAGTCGCAGAAATTAAATCAATCTAGTGTGTTATAGTTCAGGCAATAAAATATTTTAATGCTTATGTTAAGGTCAATTTCACCCTGAATGAACTTTTATAAATGTAATAACAAAATTAGTTAAAAATTAGTAAAATAAAATTTACTACAATTGATTTTGCATTTTTATTAATTTTTTTTTCTATAAATTTTAATAAAATCCTTCAGATTTATTTTGTAAAATTAAATAATTAATTATAGCATAATGTTAATTTGTTGAACTTGCAAATGTTATTTTATTATAACATGGAAGTTCCATAAGAGCGGTAATATTTTTTAATTATCGCCTTTATTTCAGCCATTTTTTAGGCTTTTGCGATACCATAAAATTTTAACTTGCAAGCTATAATAATTAGTTATAATGATAAGTTCTCTTTATTTAATTAAATTATGGAGGGACTCTGATGAATTTAAAATAGGCAAGAATATTCAAAATCAAATTTAATTTTTTAAATTCATTTCAATTCTTAAATCATAATTCTATAGTTAGAGTAAAAATTATTTGATTATTCTAGTGAATATTTCATAAATTATTAAATTTTTGAACTTTTCGCTAGAAATAACTTAATACAGTTTTTAATATTAATATGGGACAAATTTCTTAAAGCAATTTACCTAAAAATATTTTTATATAAAAGGACAATACAATTTTACATTCATGTATTATTTATGCTTCCACTGTATAAAATGTATATACATTTTTGCGATTTGACATATACTTATATACAATTGAATTAAATCAAAATATTATTTAAAAAATGTAATATAATATACTCACGTTCTCATATACTATATTTTATTACATAAATATATTTCATATAAACCGGTTTATGTGTAATATTATAAGATGCCTTCATATATTTATTTAACATAGTTTAAATAATTTCATTTCTAAATAATATATATATATATAAAAAAATGAATTAAAGACAATGTGCATTTGGAGCAAAAAAAAAAAACAAAAAAAAATTAAACCATTTCTTTTAAAACAAAATAAAATTTTCTTTCTCTAATTATTTATTCAAGTCATGTTTTACTTATTCTGAAAATTTTTTTCTTATATATTTTTAGCTATCTACAAAATATAAAATAAATGCTGAAGAAAAAAACAGGACTCTCTCCTACAGTTCTACCTAAGGGCAAAGTGTAAGAAGGATAAAGGTAAAAAAAGAAAATAAAACAAAAACACATTAAATATATAAAACAACTAATTTTTATAATGACATAAAATACATAATACGAGTAGGTTGAGAGGGATTTCAAACTTATTATATAGAAGAAAATTTAACATTGTATGTATATCAAATCGATTTTGAAGTATAGAACTACGGCGAGAACTGGATGGAGAGAGGGAACGCAAAACAACTTAATTTTTGAGAATATTTATTTAAGAATGTGATAGTTATTTTCTTTTTATCGTTATTTTCTCTATGACATTTTATTTGCTATCTTGTCAAAAACTTAAAATGTCTTTTTTTTTTTATTTCATTTCTCATAAAACTTTTTTTTTTATATATGGGAGCGTATTATATTAGAGCTGGAATATGATCATATTGTTTGTATAACAGCAGAAGTATACAATAAAATTTCACTTCAGAGAGGTGAAATTCATCACTTTTAACTTTTTAAATTTATACTATGTAGTATATGTATATGTATGTTTATTTGAAATTATTATTATATGTATATGAATATATGAGACATTTTTATGATACCTGAACCATGTTAATATTATATAAAATATTATAAAATAAATTTGCGAATTTTATTATGTATAATGAAAAAAATGATGTCATAACATAAATTTATTCATAGTTATTAAATGTTTTGTACAAATGTAATTTAGATATTGTGTGTGTTATTTTAAGCGTAATGTAATATAAATAAATATAGGTATGCGTGTCCATTTTATTATACAAACAAATTAGTATTAATAACAATGTAAATTAATAATTACGTTACGTTATTTTTACATTATTTAATATAAAAATTTAATATAAAATTTGGTTTTAAAAAGAATAATCATGTTCTATACAATCTTAAATTAATTGTTAGCAAAGCATATCTAAATGTTATAGAATTGTATACCCCTAAATTAAAATTAAATTGCTCGAATTATCTACTAGAATTAGATTATTTCTTTATAAAATCATGAAAAATCAGATAATGATTGAGAACCATTCATAAAATTGAATGAAAATGAGTAAAAATTCGCACACTTTATATAAATATTCAAAAATATGTAAAAGAGAGTAAAATATTTTTATTATTACATTTAAATTTTGTTTTGCAAAAAAATCCGCATAAAACCAATTATACTCAATATATACATAAATATTTTATAATTTTTAATCCAATACCACAAAATTAAAATTGCCACAAATATTATTAAAACAGCTTATAAAAGTATACCCATAATATCATTGTGTAGAGTAGTTAGTCGGTTGTACATAAATAAAATTTATGAGCGAAAAACCGCATTTATAATAAAAAATAATTTCAGAAATGTAAAAAATAAAATATTAAAATTATTATAATACCATACAGACAATTCAGTATAATATAAAAATGTTGGAAGTTGCAAACCTCAGATATGAAAATTTTAAATATTCCTCATATTAATTACATATTAATCAAAATATAATTAATATTTTATTGATACAAATGTGATAAGCGCCACTTCTCTTGTATTAAAAATTAAATTTTAAATGGCTATTATACAAGTATAATCGAAAAATACAATTATTTTTCAATAATTTTATATAAAAAAATTTAATTCACATTAATATTAAAAACAAAAAAAAAAATCACGTATTCAAAAATCAATATTTATTTCCTGATATTTTTTTAATTAAATCATTCCATTTGTTTTATCGAATTTGTGGACTAACAGTGTGTGGAATAATTTAAATTAAACTTTTTTTTTTATTTACGTATTGTATATTCGAATATTTACTTTAAAAAATTATAAATATTTTTTAAAATATTTGCTCGTCTATAAATATTATGTTTAATATTAAAAAAAACCCAGAATAACTAAAAATCTCAAACTATCAGTAACAAACCACAAATAATTTATATTATCCGACATAAGGTAATACACAAGTATTTTGTATGACCTAGACTGACGCAATTTCTATTGTATCTGTTATATATAAGCACATATATTGTAAAATCTACCAACACCTCAACACAAAACATGTAATTCTCAAAACAAAAAGAAAAAATTTTGAAATATTCTTAAAAATATATTTATAAGCTGATTATAAATTTCATTGTTAAGTTTAAAACAAAATATTCCTTTAAAATCTTTTGTTTAAAATTTTTCAAAATAAAATTTATGATAGATTCTTATTCTGATTAAAATTTTACTTATAATGAAATTTTATATACACACATACATATATATATATATATATGTATATATATATATATATATATATATATATATATATATATATATATATATATATATACATATATATTAAATAATTAAGCTAGAGAGAAAATTTATATTGAAAATGTTATTTAAATATAAAAGTTCATACACATAGTAGTTAATTTACTCTTATATACATATACAATAAAGGTGTGCCACACAATCTCTTTATTAAAGATTCTTTAAAATTTAATTATAAATTCTTGTAATAAATAAATGACTATAGTAATCGGATTATAATTCTTATTAAAACTTATTTTCCTAATATATTATAAAGAATAAGATTTAATTCAGTGGTCAATGATTACAAAAAAAAATTTTAATATTTAAGTTTGTTTTACACTTTAAGTTTATTCTTTAATAATAACTATTTATTAAGTAATTTTAAATATGTAGAGAATTTTGTGAAATAGAGAATGAATAAACAGGGTGTTATATAAAATTAATTCAAGGATTTTTTAAATTTTTATTAAATAAGTAATGTATAAATAATTAATATTTTTCTTAAAAGACATGGAATCAGTATTTCTTCGTTTAGAAATATGAAAAATTTAAGAAAGTTATTTTTAAAATATGCAAAATTTTTACAATCCCACATTGCATTTAGAATTTATTTAATTCCGATTTTCTAAATTCAATTTCTCAATATTTCTCAATAAATAGGACATTTTTACTAAAAATTATTTTTGTATTTTAAAATAAAAAAATCATTGAAATTTAGAATTTTATTATTTATAATTTTTTTTGTTTTTAGAAAAAGAGGAGATAAAATTTTCTCACTTGAAAATTATATTATTAAATCTTACAATTATTTTTTCACTTCCAGTGAGTAAATGATTCAAATTCATGATATTAACTCACATTTTACTCGCAGTGAGAATAAAAATTTTATAATTATACAAAATTAGGTCTTTAAATTTCTAATTCTTATAATTACTTTACTTTTAGGCTTGATTTAGTGTTCTAGAAATAAAAAATTATTGATGCATGATTAAATTATTTTATATTTCATGTATAAAAAAATTTTTTAATTATGCAAAAAAAATTATTACAATTTTATTATTTTTTTATTTATTTTTTGTAAAAATTTTAAAAATAGAAATTAATTTATTTTCTAAATATAAATTTATGGCTTTTTTATTAATTTATTGCTATTTTTTTAAATAGCAATAAATTCAATTTTTAACCTATTTTAAAATCAATAAAAAATAAAATTTCTAAAAATCTATATTATCTTTATTTAGATTATTTAAAATTTTAATTAAAATTTTGTTTTTTTTTAATTAAGACTTTTTTTAAGGTCTAATGAATTTTTCTATTACATATTTTTTTTTAATACAATATCTAACACTTCATCTATCAAGAGTAAATATAGAAAAATATTGCATAGGTATAAGAAAAAATATCAGAAAGATAAAATTTTCATTAAATTCATTAATTAAATTTTTGTTATATAATATTTATGCATGTATGTATATTGATTCTATCCACATTTAAATAAGTACACTTATAATATAGAATGCAGGGAAAATGCAAAATTAACCTATATATTTATAAAAAAAAATTTTTATGTTTACATTTGCATAAATTATTTATTATAAAATACGTCAAAAATTTTATTATTTACAAAACATAAATTTTAATTAAATTTTAAACCTATATATATCCACATATACACACATGTATGCATCACAATTAATGTTCAATATACATAAGTATATAAATTATAAAATTTAAGATAAAAATCAATATTCATTAAATATGATGCACATACATAATATGTACACCTTAAATATTAATATTACTTTTAAGATTATTTCATAATAATTATAAAATAAATCCAAATATAACAATTTTATGTACATTCAAAAATATTTAGGGTATTTATCGATGTTATAATTAATATTCATCATATATATAATAATTTTTTATTTTAAAAAATTTAATTATTTTAAATTAATTTTATAATATTTAAGAATTATTTTTTTTCTTAATATTATAATTAAAAATTGCAATAAATAAACAAAAACAACTATAGAAGACAATTTTGTTAATTACACAAAGAACTACTTTTTTGAGGGGCGCTAATGATTATTAAGTTTTTTAATTTAAAACAGCGCCACTCCACAAAAAGCGGTTGCATTTTGTAATTTCAAAATTTTTCTTCTGTATAGCACTATAAATTATGTATGTATGTACATTGTATACAATAAAAATAGGGAATTTATGTATTTTAGGTGTTCGCCGCTAAGTATGCAATTTTAATTAAAATTATTTTTATTACATATTTTAATTTATTTAAATAGTATTTTCATATATAATAACTAACTAAATATTAAAATTTTATATTTAAAAAAAAAACTTTTAATTTAAATTAAAATTTAATTTTTTTTATATTTATTACTGTTATACACAAATTTTTCTATAATTATTATATAATTTCCATTTAATATTAAAAATTTGATTCTTTTTCCTTTTTTTCTTATTTTTAGGGTTTAAAATAAAAAAAATTTTCAATGAAAAAACCTCTACTATATTATTTACAACAACAATAACAATAAAAGGGTAAAAAAAACAGAAAAACTTGTTATAAAATTATAGAAAATTACAATGGAAAGAATTAAAATGCAAATAAAACGAAAAGCAACAACAAGAATAAAAATGGAAAAATTGGAAAAATCAATTGAGGAAAAATTCGTCGCTTTTTTTGTTATTCGTCGTTTGTTTTCATATTTGTTTTTTTTTTTTTTGCTTTGCTTTTATCTTTATTTTCTGTTTGTTCTTTTTTTATGCAGTTCACTTCATTCTTTTCTATTTTTAATATTTAATTTTTTTTTTTTTTGTTTTTTATATACATATGTAAATACTTATTATATATAATATGTACTTAAAAATTTACACATACATTTACAAAAAAAAAAAAAAACATTTCCCATACCTATAAAACCCTCTACAATTATTTTTAAAATAATAATTTTTCCCTATTTTTATTCTACATTTAAAACATTTTATTAATATATATGAAGCGATTTGTAAATGTATGTGTATGTGCGGTATTAATAATA